CTCTCCTCCTCCTCCCTCCTCCTCTCCTCCTCCTCCTCTCTCTCCTCCTCCTCCTCCTCCTCCTCCTCTCCTCCCCTCCTCCTCTCCCTCCTCCTCTCCTCCTCCTCCTCCTCTCTCCCTCCTCCTCTCCTCTCTCCTCTCCTCCTCCCCTCCTCCTCTCCTCCTCTTCTCTCCCTCCTCCTCCTCCCTCATCCTCTCCCTCATCCTCTCCGTCCTCATCCTCATCCTCCCTCCCACTCCTCCCTCCTCTTCTCCTCCCCTCCACCCCCGCCCACTCTCCCCCCCCCCCGCAGCTGAAGCCTACGTCACAGGCTCCGGTATTTTCCTATTGTGCTGTTTTTGTTTTTGTTGTTATTGCTGTTGTCATTGTTGTTGTTTTTGTTGATTCAGTGTTATTAGTAGCCCTGATTATAACCGTGATGGCATTATTAACACAGATGATGTTTACGATGTTGTTAAAACTACGATGACGTTCAGGTCTTGATAGTTAGGATTAATATTTTAACGATTATAATGGTAATTTTAATTATGTTTGGATCTAGATAATACAGGTAGTCAGGAGATGGCAGCAATGGCAATGGAGATGGTATCTATAGCAATAATGATCTTAAAAGTGATTATAATCATAAAACAAACATTGATAATACATAACCAAGAGAGAATATAATTAAACGTAACAAAAATGGGAGTATTCATGACCATATTAAAAATAGCTTTGCAGATCAGATTCACACAAGGGTGATAATAGCCTCAGCAAAGACTTCCGCTTCGAGTCAAAACAACACTGACCTGACCTATTCCTCGGTCACGCCCTTCCACCTTCTTGGAGTTCATTTTCACGGATCTGGAGAACAGTCGGGATCAGCCTCTCACGCTAATTACGGTGTGAAAGAAGCGACATTTCACCGAAGAAGTGAGGACGGGTTTTCCTGCACTCGAGAGGGGGTTTAGGTCAGCCTTGAATGGGCGAGTCCTAGCAACGGGAAAGGACGTGGTGACATGGGTTTAAAATTCCTGCGTGTGAAATGCTGTTTTCCGGCCGTGACAGCGAGATAAAACAAAAATAGAGTTTGCGTTTCTTCTAAATTCGACCTGGCTTCCTCTCTTATCATTAGGTCTACCCTGTTTATCTTTTCTTACCTCCCCTTCTTTCATTTCCTCTCCCTTTCCTCTGATTTGTATGCGTAGAGTGAAGTCAAGACGGCGAGTTTGTTATAGGAATGAGTTTTGATATTTGCATGACAGAGGTTCTACATGTTCAGGGGGAAAGGAGAAGGCTGTACTGGAAGGCGGTCTGCTACGGGCCACAGCTGGTCATCGTCTGTAACTGGTTTAAAAAGGCCTTATCTCTCGGAAACAGACTGACCGCGATTATGTATGGATATGAAACAAGAGTGGAATATCAGTGATAACATCATATAGTAAATGTGATAGTATTCATCATATATATCTGTGGGGTAGTGTTAGGAAGGGTACAGTAAATGTGATCGCAGTGCAATACAATGGTTGTGATGTTAGGGTAAATATAATTTTACATGACACAGGCAATGCTAACGAGTAAATAACATGGATGATGAAGTTCCCATCATCCCAATATCTGCAAATAATGAAAAATAGGTAAACCAGGTAAAGAAAATATAGTGTTGTCTTTACTGCTAATGAAAGTAGCAACAGTATGAATTATTCCATAGGATATAAACAGTGTTGGAAAAATAAGGAAATGTTTATGCAAGAATAGAAGTATGAGTATGGATGAGGTACCAGTGATTGGTGGAAGATAAATGTTAACCTTGGCGAAAGAATTGATGAAAAGGAAGATAATTAAGAGATCAGTTTCGTTTCACATTTACTTATCCATGCCTGGTGACCTTGTAACCCCCATCTCTCTTGATTGCACATGGTCCTTTTACGACTCATTCATTTGAAGACGTATATAATCCTTTTAGGTTACTACCTGTGGATATTTCACGTCCGAGAATGCCACAGAAAGTACCTCCTCGTCTATATTCTTCCAGAAGATTATCATCGAAGGTGAACTTTTGACAGATACACTGATACACCTAGATGAACTGACAGGGCTGATCAGAGGGACAAGGTGGAGCAAACGTACTCTACAATCAGCAGTGCAGCAGACGAGGCAACGAGCGGCAGAACAGCTGACTAAGAATCCAGCCCAGTCCATCACAGACAGAAAGGCAGAAGAGACATAACAAAACAAGTTGGGCAGGCAGTTATGTCCATTTCGTGGAGTACTGTAGACAATGGGCATTGGATAGGACTTCTGAACAGCGTCTGGGCATCGTTAGTCTCAAAAAAGAATATTGAATGTCTACAGTATTTACAGTGTATTCAGTAATGCGTGCTGTGTACCCTCTCTCTCCTCTTTACGCACAAAAAAGTGATGATTCCCTACTACAGTCTCACAACCTGTGCCAAAGCTTTGCATTATAGGTTGAAATATGGAGCATGTAATAACCCAATGACAGCAGGTACATCATGG